AGAGTGTGCATCTTCACTCTTAAGTCTCAGGTTGACACACAGCAGAAGCCGAGGATTCATTGTTCCACTCCCAGAATAGGATGCGCTATATGAAGGATCATACACTTACCCACATGTATTCAGGATAGTCAGACAAACGTTTTAGTCCCTCAATAACTGTATCTCTGTCTTCTTCCCATTTTCTTTTGCAGAAAACTATTTCAAGGAAGTACCATGTCCAGCCAATCAGGGGAACGTATAACAGTTCTCTCTTAGCAAGAACTTTGGAACTCTGTAAGAAACGCCCCCCAAAGATAACACTTGATTATTTGTGTGTTAGACTCAAATAAAAGCACTACCTTGAGATTTTCAAAAGTACTCAGCATTAGGTCTGATTCAGTACCTGAAGAAAATGGAACTGCTTCTTAAAATCACCCCATGAAGAAAAATACGCAAGAGTTCAAAACCAATTTATACACCTGGTAGTTAAAGGACATTTCACAGAATTACTCACCCCTAACACACCAAAGCGTTCAGTCATAGTCCAGCCACACAAGAAGTCTATTTCAAAGTTGTGATTCAAGATGATGATGACATGCTCTTTTCCAAATTTATCCACTGTGGCCTGGTCTGAGAATAAAGTACATTCGGTGCTTGACCACCATTCCAGCAACATTACTAACTCTGAAGGGGACAAGAAAGACGTTACAGTACATGTCAGGTGTTGTGATGTACCTCAAGATTTACTATTCTTTCTCTGCTGTGATCTCATGCCAAGTGCCCTGGATCATAATATTTATTAACTTTTTAATTCAGCCCAATGAATTATAGGTAAATAGATTAAATATGATCCTAGATGGACGTACACTAAATTACGAGCATGTATATTTATACCATCACCTTTACGCAGAATTTGGGCCACAGGATAACTACTTTATTGATAAATGATCTGGAACCAGCTCCCAAGGGAAGTGGTGCTGGCTCTCCTACCTTAGGGGTCTTTAAAAGGAGGCTTGATAACTACCTAGCTGGGGTCATATGAGCTTAAACTTACTAGGGGTCATATGAGCCCTGTATTCATTCCTGCCCAGGACAGGGGGTCAGACTTGATGATCTGCTAAGGTCCCCTCCGACCCTACATCTATGAATCTATGATAATGAACACAAATTTAAAACAATGAATTTAGCCAATGAATATTACTGCTCTGCATAAAAGCCCATTGGATCTCACTAAAAATTCCAACCAAACAAGTATTTATTTGCCAAGGCAGCCAGAAATGTATCCTTATAGGGCTGGACACTGAACAAATTTCCCTTCTATCCCTTTCTAGACACTACTTTTATTATATTTCTTGTACTTAATTAAACTCTACTCTTAAAAATTTTCCCATTATTTAAAACAAAAAAGGGGAAAAAGAGAGAGACTGAACCTGCACTCTCTGCTAATGAGCAGAAGAAAAAAAAATCTACAGAGCCAGGTGTGGAGAATCTGATACAACATCACTCCCCACAATTTACTCTGAAATATTGGTGGCATTTTTTCCAGAGATCTTTTGTTACAAAGTTCAGTTTGAGAAATGGGGCAGGAAGCAGGCTGTCCTTTACAAGTGCATAGATACAAAATGTGAGTACATCAAGGGGTGGGCTTCTGTTTGCTTATTTTTTGGTTGAGAGTTTAATAAAATATTTAGTATTTAGCTCTTTAGTGTCATACTTGCTCCATAGATGCTACAACCAGCCTAATCTCCTAAGGTTTTGCTTGCTCTTTATAATGATCCATTACATATTTTGCACACATTTATTCAGAAAGCTGCCACCATGCCTGTGCACAAATATTTTGCTTTAACAAAAGCTTCTTGCCACCCCGAGTGCTGATTCAGAGGGGGCACCAAATGGCCACCTCTGTGCTGCTGCTGCTGCCACTGGTGCTGGGGGAGCTTACTCCAATGCAACCACCATGGCCTGCATGAAGAGGGAGGCATTCCACCCCCCAGCCACCAACCCCCTCACCGGCCCACCTGCACCAAAAGTTAAAAGTTATATCTACCTCTTGCTCTAAAGCAGTAAGGTCTCAAACATCACAGGCTGCCTGCCCCTTTTAATGCGTTTTATTGCTGTGCCTGACCCTCAGGGTTCAGCATTATGGATAATCAGAGAGTAACGCTGCATCACTGCTCCCACTAACCTCTTCAGCCACCTAAGAATTATTATAAAACTGTTCTTCATTTTGTTTTTCTTTCTCCCTTTCCTTCCATGCATACTTGCCATTTCCCTTGGTCTGTTATCCCACTACTTCTTTCCACATATTCCCCAAAAGTCTGTCACAAAACCCAAAAGGCGCAAATATCTCAACTTGAGAAATACTGGCCCAGAACACAGAGGATATTAATTTCAAGACACTAAGGGTGGCTGTAGACATGCTGGGAGGCTGCTCCAATGCACTTTAATTGCAGTGTGTCGGAGCAGACTCGATTAATCGAGTGTGCTAATTGGTGCACTCCACCCAGCCATAGCATCTTGTGTACCAGCATCCCCGCACTTCAAAATGGCAGCGGGGGTGCTTGAACTAAAGCTCATAAATGAGCTTTGAATAACATTAAATGAGCTTTAGTTCAAGTACCCCCACCGCGATTTTGAAGCGCAGGGATGCTGATACATGAGACGCAGCGGCGTTTTAATAAGAGTGGCTCTCAGAGGCACTCTAATTAAAGTCACCGCCCCCCACAAGCATGTGTAAAAATGCCCTGAGATTTTAAGAGATTATTTTTTTACAACAGGGCTAAGCTAAACCTATTGCACTATTAAAAAGCATGAGTCACTTGAAGAGAGTTGACATGGGAAAGTTGGAATACAGATTGCCCCTTGTGAATTAAATGTGTCATGAAGTGTTTTCTTGGTATAGGGAGTCTTAATGGACACCTTCAGTACCACTTGCCAACCTGATGGGGATTTTCAGAGGTACCACATTTATAATTATAGTAAGGAGACTCTAGCCTCCTGAAATTATGTATGTTTGTGAATGATTCCCATCACAATCAGTCTTCCAAAATGACAAATACCACAGCTAGCAAGATCTGGTAAAAAAAAAAAAAAAAGAAAAAAGAAATAACTGTTACATCAGTAACAAAAACCCACCAAAATAAGAAAAAGAAATAAAATTTCAGCTGACCCTTTTCCAAATTCACTGCAAAAGCAACCAAGAGTTAGGACAGTGATGGACTTAACTCTAAGCAATGGCTGTACTCTGAAAATGATTCTGTACACGTGATGCTATGGTCTTATGTACTTATTGCCTCAGTAATAATGCAAGTTGTTCTTTTCTCAAATAAAAGTAGTTTTTCTCCTAGACACTGACCTAGCAAAGTAAAAATGGGACTTTGGAGCCAACAGCTGGGCTCTTCCTGCTTCATCACCATTGCCAGTTATCTGGAACCGCCTGAACTATATCATATCTCATATGTGATAGTTTCTTTGATGACCTGTCTCATCCACATGGCATACTACTCACTATGGACAAATATAACAATACTAAGTACAGATCAAAAGACCAAAAGAAGAGTTATAAGAAAGTAAAGGTGCGTGGGTGGGACAGCTTTGTTAACATTGCTTAAAAAGAAAACAACATTGGCTTTGAGATGAAATCATGCATGAAAAATAAGAGCCTTAGGCTCTAGACAGACAACCTGTTTACACCAGTGTACCTTAAATTGATTCTGTACACCCACATAAATTTCACTGGGATCTGGAATGGATAGCTATGCAGCCACCCTGGGGGGGATACACTTGGAAGGCTGCTATAACAGGCTCTTGCCAATATGTGGTAAGTGTACAGGCACTAGTCTGTTTGCCTTAGGCAAATGGCTACCCAACGGGAAAGGTTCAAACAGATGATGGTGCACCAGAGTAATTTACAACAGTTACAGAAAGCAACCTGATTCTTTTCTGAGTAATTCTATTCTGGACGGGGAAACATTACCCCAGTATTAGTCTTTGCACAGTCTGTCTGCTCCTCTTTTATATCAATATAAAGGTCAATTATAACAAAGCAAACATTGCAACTGTCCGGGGCTTAAATGGTATACTACTCAGTGACCACAACTAAGGATCTAGAATGAAATTCTAGCTATAACTCCACTACCAAAATGCTTTACTACAATATTCTTTATTTATATAGTCAACAACACTTGCACTGCTACATTTATAAGATTATAGTTTCTTTCATTACATAAATCACAATTAAAGCAAATATTCTGTCAAGCTTTTCACTACAGGCCATTAGCACTGGGCAGACTGAGATAACATTGACATTATAAACTTTGTTATTCGTTGCTTAAATTTCTCACTCATTTTAATTCAAGTAGGCTACAAACTAAGATGCAAGATGTTATCACCTTTATTCAGCTGCTGTGTGTCTTTTTGAGCAATAATAGCATATGGTCTATAGATTCAATAGAGATTTTTTTTTTAAAAGTAATCTGCTTCTGTGTTAGACAATGGATAATTCTCTGTGCACCATATTAAATTGCACAAAACAAGAACCTGAACAGATAAAGCTGCTGCCATGAGTCACAAGTCAGCTGTATTCCCAGCAAAGTCAGTCAGATAACTTGTATGAATACAAGTTTGGAGGCCTGATCTCTGGCATATTAAAAAGGGACACAGTGAAATATAAAACAAAACAAAACAAAAAGCCCTGAGGCAATTCTGAAATATCCTCCTCTGAACATTAAAATATTTTTACTCTAACAATTTGCTTCCCCCAACACACACACACACACACACACACAAACAAACCTCCCTTTGATTTGGTTTTCCTTTTAAATCTTAGGAAACAGGATGACAAAGGGAAGACACCAAGAGGTACAGGAATGACAAGTAAGTGACTTTCAGATTAGCTGCTGAGTTGTATATGCAGATTTTAGATCCTTCAGGATATTTTTATTTATAATATTTTGAGTGCATGGTTTTTAAATGGCTGATGAAGTAGGTGCCTAGAGATGAATCTAGGAGCCTATAGTTAGACACTCATTTTGGAAGTACTGTCCCACATCAAACAGCCTGAGTGAGTGAAGAGACCTTGGATGCAGGAGCAGGGATCAATAAAGTAGTCTAAAATTTTAAAAAGGGAGTTTAAGGGATGGTTCTGAAGGAGGAGAGCAAAGTAGCACCATTCGCAAAGGGAAAAAGCAGAGGAAGACTGTATCCTTTAATGATGCATTAACATAGATTACGACTGAAATACAAGAGGTAATTTCCCACAAGACAGTACAACAGAGGCTGTGAACAGCTTGATTTAGTTGTCCCTTTAAATAACGGTCACAAGAACACGACTACTTTCTAATATTTCATAATGCTGCTCCCAATTTACAAAATCCCTTTATCACTTTCTCTCTCTCTCTAATCCCCAACAGTGAATACTCACGGCTCCAAAGCGAGTAGGAGAGACGACAGTTTACTCTGCGATAAAACTGCTTGTTTATTGGCCAGAGGACTAGCGTGCATAGCTGGATGAAGTTAATGATCAATCCGCTCACAACAAAGACGAACCCAATGAGGAGATGAACTATAAACTGGGTCTTCAGAAATGCAATTAAGCCCATGATAACCACTTAGTAGCGCTTGCAGGGTCCTTCACTCAGAATAACAGTCCTGAAAGAGAGGGGGAAACAAGAAAAAGAAAAATCCAGTTGAGACTAAAATGATGAGACTGGAAAAAAAGAATGCTAGACTCATTTCTCAATTTAGATACTAGCAGTAGCACCAGCAAGACAACCATTAACATATTTTAAGTTTCCATGCAGATTTCATTCAGGCCTCTTTTTGCAGTGGGGTAATTGTTACGTGGCCTGCGGTAGCCACCATTTCTGAGCCTCAGAAAGGATATTATTAATGTCCTGTAGCTGCTCGGGAAATGCTATTCTGTTTTGCTGATGATCACTTATACAAAAAAATAAACTCCATTCAGGAAACAGGCTGCACTATTAACATCCCTAACATTGCTTATTCCTTATCTGTGAGCTGGAATAGTAGCTGTCAACAAATAAGGTGGGGATCTGTGCAAGTGTAGATTCACAGATGCCTCCCAAGCCTGCCCTCAATCTTTTCCTCTGCAGCAGCCTATTCAGAATCACAAAAATCATCCCTTGCTGCCAAAGGCAGATACAAATATTCAAAGCAAGGCCTCCATGTTTTCTCAGGTGCTCTGGCCCAGACACAGAATGGGTCCTCCATACTGCAGCAAATTTCACTCTGGAAAAACAATGCTGAACACATTGAAAGCAGACTAAGTCAAACAGACTAGGTCTATCAGACTAAGCATGGAAAGGGAATGCTTGCTGAGTAATCAAGTGCAGGGCACTGATCTAGATGACCTTGAGGTCCTTTCCAAACCCATGACTACTCTCTGATTCCTAAATTCAGGCAGTTCATTTCTCCTTTTCTCATTTTTCCCAAAAGGTAAAAGTATTACCATGATTTTATCATATTGTGTAAGGTTTGCTATAAAGATCAATTCTGCAGACAATTACACTCAGAAAGTCACTTGTGTTTGAGGTTAGGGGCAGAAGTTACACATAACCCGGGTTAAGTGATCAGAAACTGGTTTAAAACCTGTAACAGAACAGAAGCTCAATGCACATGAACCAGTTTCAAAATGGCTGAAACTGATTTAAGATGAACCTGGTTGAATGTAGTTATCAGACTGAACTGATTTGGGACAAATTGGTTTATGAAACTTCTGCCCCAGACCCCTTCCTGGTTTAAGTTAAATCACAGTCCTCTAGCATCCCAGCATTTTGCAGCCCTGGGCTGGGATGTCTGCTCCAGAGAGCAGGGCTGGTCCCACCCCACTGTTCCTGAGCTGGGGCAGTGTGGGCTGGCTGACAAGGGGATTGGGGGGGGGGCAAGCCCAGCTGGGAATGCAGCCCAGTGGGCAGGGGTGGGGACTACCTCCCTCTTGGCTAACCCCAGCTGGGGTCTGGGGCCAGGGAATGGGGTTAAACATCCCTTCCCCTGCTCAAACTTACTCCTGGCTGCGACTATGGTCTACAAATCCCAGAGGCACCTGGAAGCAGGAAGAGGAAGTGATAAGCAACCCTGTAGAGTCCTGCAGCTATAAGTCTGGACAGCAAATTCCAGAGACCTCAGGGGCAGCAGGAAGAGGAAGTGAACATAGTCAGAGAGCTGTGCTCTAGCACCCCCAGCTTCTGGCCTCAGCCACTGCAGACATGTGGCTGCATTTCCTGAGTCAAAGGTAGATGTCTATTCACTTCTGTTTCAATTTAATTTGTGCAATTTAGACTAACCTGCAAAGACTGAACTGATTCAGCCTCAGGTTTTCTGACTGTTTGTACTTAGCCTGAATGTTTGGACAACTGAAGCCTCGATTATTAAAAGTAATGTACACTTCCAAGATGTAAGGAGGCAGGTTAGAAGATCTGGTGCAGTGGTTGTCAACCTTTTTAGATGCAAGGTATCCCTGGACAGACTCAAGGCTCATGCTTAGAAAATGCAAGCTCTTAGTTTTCATTCAAATTTTTACTATGGAAAAATAGTCGAGCTATTCTTTTGTCACAAAGAACTCACAGAGGCCCCAACTGGTCAGAACGTTTTGACACCATGGATTCCTATTTGAAATCTCTGGGTTTATCTTGTGAATCATATTTGCATGTCCAACAGTGCTAACATTAAACAACACCTTTCAGTACCCAAGAAAGGATCCAAGGCTGCTCAGGGTGCCACAATACCCTGGTTGAGAATAATTGCTCTACTAAGTTCCCAATGATCCAAATGTATGTGCAAATTCTAAGAACTGGAATATCTTCATTTATGTTTTCCTTATATTATATCACATCAATTTGAATGTTGAAGCATTATTAATAAGGAATGCTGGTTTTCCTATTAAATGCAAATTATTGCAGTTCCTACCAATTAAGAGCCCTAGATTTTGTCTTGTGTTTTACTGTACAAACGAGCTAAATGGTTTTAATTCTTTACCCATATGGACATTTTAAAAACATAATACAGAACACAGACAAGCATGGCAACCTGACTGCTACTACTATAACACTTTTATATAGTGAGTATTACTGTGCTATCACTCTACGCTAAATAAAAGGAAACTGAACTAACAGCTTTAAGAATAAACATCTTGTTTGTCTCTGGCTATAAGACAAGGTTGAATTCTAAAATGAAATTATATTCTCTATTTAATGTGCTTTTCTTTCTTAGCAATAATTCTCAGAATCTCTTTAAAGAACAATGTAAATTTTAAAAGTATCAGGTTTCTAGGATACTGTAGCCTGCCACAGTCCAAATGTCGCAATATGCTTTACATGTACTGTATCTTCATCTCATCTGCTGAGCTGTGGCATTCAGATACTAATCTCCTATGAACAAATGGATTCACGTCTTTCCACTGAAAATCCTTCAAATTTAGTTTACTAAATTTAGTTTAGTTTAGTTTAATTACTGCTGCTCAGATGCACATCTCCATTTCCAAGATTATGGCAAAAATCAGCCCATTTATCTGCTCTCTTTCAAAGAACAGTACAAAAACACACGCACAAAATCTCATTTTTTCCTCTGCAGAATCACTTCTAGAGTTTCTATCTGTATTTCATAAAGGCATATGGAGTCAGCTTTGCTGATGAGTGTGTCTAACATATTAATACATTAATATTAATACATATGTATTAATACAGTAATAATTGCTTTTCAACATCCAATATGACTCCCTTTGGCCATGCGGTTTAAGATGAAAAACATGCACAAACTGCTATTAACAAGTGGAAATGCAAAGTAATATCTGCCAGAAAGTTTTACCAGCTAAAAAGGGGTTAAGTTTTATGCTTCCTCTGCTTTGCACCAAAACTCAAATGCCATAGCAATTATTAGTCCAATGAGAATCTGAAATATTATAGACAAATGCTAATGCCAGCCGAATGGCTGCTGGGAGTCTTGGCCAATGTGGAACATGGGTGGTTCAGCTGCAGGCAGAAAGAAAGATTTCAAGACTTTGTTCAGAGTCCCTACCACTCTGCTGGGGTTCACTATGCCCCTGTGCCCCTTGGCTAGGGACAGCCATTCAAAAAGCCTGAGCCTAAATTGATTCAGTCTTTGCAGGTTAGTTTATTCTGGATAGGCTGAACCGGTTAGTAATAGTACAGACATCCCCTCTGGGCTGAAGAAATGCAGGCACATGCCTGCAGTGGCTGAGGCTAGGAGCCGGGGGAGCGCTAGAGCAGCCCTCCCTTCCTTTCTACAGTGCTGACCTGAGGGGGATGGGGGTGTGGCCAGGCCCCTGGCAAGATGCTCTGATTAGGGAGGGGTCTCCCCCTCCCCCCGCTCCTGACCACTGAGGGAGCCAGCAGGGAGTTACACTGGGAGTAACACAGTGTTTATCAGCCCAGCAAGAAAACAAAAGCTTCGCTCATTAGCTCAAGCTCTTCTTTTAGATCCAAAAAGCCCTGAGCAGACACTGTCCTGTCTGCCTTACATAAACACCTCTCAGCATTAGCTAGCATAACAGATGCTGGCTACATCCATGCTGTAGGAGAGGGGAGGGAGGAATCCCTGCTTGAGCAGGGAGTTGTGGGGGTGGGGGGTGGCACGGGGAAGCCAGGCAGATGCTGCTGTGCCTACCATCTCTGTGGGAGCTCCAGCCAGAGAGCAGAGGGGCAGGGCCAGCCCTGCTGTGGAGCAGAGAGCCCTGCCCAGGGCTGCAAAGCATCTGGGATGCTGGGGGACTCTGGTTTAAATTAAACCAGGAAGGGGTCTGGGACAGACATGGCATAAACCAGTTTGACCCAAATCAGTTAAGTCTGATACTACATTCAACCAGATTTATCCCAAACTGGTTTGAGCCATTTCCAAACTGGTTTATGTGCACTGAACTTCTGTTCTGTAACAGGTTTAAACCAGTTTCTGATCACTTAAGCTGGTTTTATGCATAATGTCTGTCCCAAAACTGCAGGGGCAGTAAATGCTACTGAAGTCCTAAAGACTGGATAGTAATGAAAGAGTTTTCCTTTTATCCTGAGTCTTTTGTGGGAGTGTTTGGCCCAGTGCTTTGTAAAGCATAATTATGCTACTTGTGCTTCATCTTAAAGAATACATTGCTAAATAAAATCTGAGTAATCCTATTGTTTCTCCTCCCTGATAAAGGCTTGTTGCAATGCTGGATATAGAATCTTCCACCGGTACCATATTTCCTCCCTCCTCACATGCACCTCACCCTAAAATTAATAAATAAATAAATGCAATTAAAAACTAACCCTTGCTGCCTCACCAGTGTACTTTACTGTAGGCAAGCTAGACAATACAGTTTAAAACCATCAGGGAAAAGTTATTTTGATAGCCATTGTTTTTTCATTGAAATTCCCTGATGATCAGTTTACGCTGGGGAGAGGACAAGGATGATGAGTTACAACAACGAGGGACAAACCTGCCTTTAAATTTCTCAACCAGATGTTTTAACAATGGCAAAGTACAGCAAATACTGAGGAAAAAGTTTCCCTCATAGGAACTTTCAGCAATTTTCAACCCTCCTTACTTTATAACATGAATAAAAAATATATGCCTCACCCTGCTAGCAACACAGTCTTTTCTCTCCATCCTAAATCAATTTCTGCAATATCAGACTATAGATT